AAATAACTTATTGCTGCTTATACTTTATTTTTTCATCGACCACATAAGAAATAATGCGATTTATCAATGTCTGGTTTTTCATTATATCTCTTTCATCTGTAAAAGGTTTGTTAGATTATCTTTTTTCATTTAATTCTATCGCAATATAAATGAATTCTTTAGGACAAACTACACAATTACCTAATTATTCTTGTAGTGAAAATAATGTTTCGATTCAGTTTACATTGTCTTCATCATCCCATTCAGCATGGAATCAAACATCAAATTGTTCTCTACAACAATGTGATATAAGCTCGAATGGTAGCAACAGTTTTCTTTCATCATCAACACCTTGCTTTGATTTTCGAACAATAAACAATATTAGTTATTGTGCACCTGGTATTTTATGTTCAATATTAGAAGCATGTGATAATATTACACAAACATGTTCATCAAATAATTCAATATGTGTTATTAATTCATGTTGTTCATCACAAGCAGTATGTTTACCAGTCTTAGCAACACAAATGTGTGAAAGAGGTATTAATACATATTATTTACACTTGAGACTTCATCAAAATTAATTCGAGCAATTGATTTTATTCATAGTTGTAAACAAAGCATCATTCATTTGTGTAAAACCTCTGTCGAGGGATACTTTTGTTATAATGATAACAAATGTAATAGATAGAATAATATAGATTTATGATATCAATTGTTAATTAACATGAGGAACGAAAAAGAGATGAAGAACTGAAATATGTTGAAGTTTTCAGTTAAGTTATTAAATGAGACAATAATACAATTTCATATATCATTTAATTCGTAGAATAAAAGATTATGACTTTATAATAATTCAATGTTTTTCTGTGTTTGATCTGACATATTGTGGGATAAATTTTGCAACATTTTTTTCTGCTTACATTTGTGAGATGAAAAACAGTATAATTTAGATGAATGGACTGAAATATATAAATTGTTATTATAGATCATCTCAAATAAAATTTACAGTTTGCTTGATTGTACATTTTTGTTCATTCCTACTTTTTCTGTTGCTGTTGTTGTTCTAGTTGTAGTAATATAGAGTTATTTTAAATATGATTTCAGCGATAATGTTGATTATCAACGTTATACTTATTAAAAAATAGATGAATCATCTAAGGTCAAATTTAGAAACAGAGTATATGTGAAGGTTAGTCAGTTTTGACAGGATCTAAGATTGATTAATTTTCTGTAATCAAAAGTTATCTCATCTGTTTTGTATTGACTGATGAGATGATTGAGTAAACTACAAATCAGATATCTAGTATTATGTTCATCTTTAGATTAATCTTTTATCTCATGTTTGGAACATTTGAAAAGGTTCGTTTTCTCTATGATAGTGTTCATTACATAAGAAAATATGGACGGTGAATTGATGAATAATTGTTGTTGTGTCAATAAATTTAAGTATAACATTTGATTAGATATGAAACACCATTGAGAATAAGGTCGGGAAGAATTAAATAGGAGAATTCATGTGAGATAAAGGGTAAATATCAATGATTTGATAGTGAATTATCAGAAACTTCGAGATTAATCACTCATCTTATCATGAGTACAATTTAATCGGGCAATAAATAATACGAGTGGGCAATAAAAATAATATAGATGAGCAATAATCAAGTTTAGCAATAAAAAATTACACTTGGCAATAAATATATTGACTGGGCAGTAATTAATTGACTGGCAATAATTATATTGATTGACCAATAAATATAATAATTCAACAATAATTAAATTTATTGTTGCTCATATTTAATTTATTCTTGCTCACATATATATTTATTACTGCAATTTAATTAACTAATTATTGCCCATTTCGCAATATAAAATTGCCGAACAATAATTTTTAATCGCCCACGATTTATTGCTACTTCGTATTTTTAATTACTGCCCACTTCGATTTTTAAATTGCCCAAATAAATAGTAGCCTTTTATCATTAGTTCATGTTTCATATCAGTTCCAGTGATGAATGTTATATAGTCTTTTGCATACCTATGTATAAATTATTGAAAAGAAAATGTTATAAATAATTCACTATTGATTGTGATATCCAGAGAACTATAAAAGAGTTAATGCATAGTTCATACTTTTCCTTCTATTGAATATCTTTCAATCATAGCTCGTAAAATTTGTAGAGAATCGAAAAACACATCAGTGAGTGTAATTATCAGAGTGATCAATTTGAGACAAACATCTTTTATATAGTTGATTAAGATAAGAGAAGAAATAGAAAATATAGAAAACTGAAGATGTGATAATGATATGTGAAGAGATTTTGTGTAATACATTTGATTAATATTCTCGGTTTACATAAGTTTGAGATGATATAAAACAGACATAACAAAGACTGTCATTTTAGAATAATGAATGTTGACTATTTGATTGTCTAATGTTGTATTGTCTAAATATATAAAAATGTAACTTCTAGGATGGTTTTCTACTGGCAATATGACTAATGCACGAGAGTATCACACAGCATCTGTATTATCAAATGGACAAGTATTAGTTGCAGGTGGATACAACGGTAATAGTGCTGAGCTGTATGATCCAGCAACAGGCATTTGGACAACTACTGGTTCCATGACTAATGCACGATATTACCACACAGCATCTGTATTATCAAATGGAAGAGTATTAGTGACTGGTGGATACAATGCTAATAATGGTTATTTGAATAGTGCTGAATTGTATGACCCATTAGCAGGTACCTGGATAACTACCAGTAGCATGAATAATGCACGAGAATTTCATACAGCATCTGTATTATCAAATGGAAAAGTATTAGTTACTGGTGGAGAAAATTATAATGGTTATTTAAATAGTGCTGAATTGTATGATCCATTAACAAGTACTTGGACAACTTCTGGTAACATGACTAATGCACGCTATTGGCACACAGCATCTGTATTATCAGATGGAAAAGTGTTAGTTACTAGTGGGTTCAGTGGTTATGTCTTAAATAGTGCTGAATTGTATGATCCATCGACAAGTACTTGGACAACTACTGGTAGTATGAATAATGCACGAGAACTTCACACAGCATCTGTGTTATCAAATGGAAAAGTATTAGTTATTGGTGGATCAGATATTATTGGTTATTTAAATAGTGCTGAATTGTATGATCCATTAACAGGTACCTGGACAACTACTGGTAACATGACTAATGCACGATATGATCACACAACATCTGTATTATCAAATGGAAAAGTATTAGTTACTGGTGGAGAAAATTATAATGGTTATTTAAATAGTGCTGAGTTGTATGATCCATTAACAAGTACTTGGATAACTACTAGTAACATGACGAATGCACGCTATTGGCACACAGCATCTGTACCCATGTCATACAAACCGCTTTAAAACCGTCAGTTAACCGCAGTTCACCTTCCGGTTGAACGCCCGTTTGACCGTTCCGGTTATCGCAGTTAACCGCGGTTAACCGCCGTTAACTGCATTCCTCTGGCGGTTTTCTTCATGCTCTTACTGATATATAACGATCGAATTTAGCCTACAGTAAAAGTTTCAATTCACATACAGCTTTCAGTTAGACTTTATTAAAATTTCATCAAAATCAATCTCTAACATTAGAACAAAAAAGCACTCTAAATCATTGAAATACAAAAAACCACTTATCATTATTTAACATCACACATGTTCAACAAAATCAATTTGTAATGAGACAAAAAAAACACATACATTATGTTTTCACACAGGAAGAGCGCATCTACAAAAACACGAGGTACAACATAAAATAACAAGAATAAGTACATCTTCTGTTATTCTAACTATAACTATACGATAGAAACAGTTAATAAAGAAGTATTACATATTAAAACAATAATCATATAATATGTAAGAAATAAATGTTTTTAATAAAGTAAAAATACTTAAAACAAGAAAATAGAAGTAAAAAAGATATTTAAGAAGAAGCTTTTTAATTTGCAAATGAACCAATAAATTCATCAAAATCGTCGTGTAGTGTTACTTGTGATGCGGATTGCACTGTTACATTACCAGCACTACTTTTTTTTCTTCAATTCATTGCGTCTCTTTTGAAGAATGCATTCATGCAAGATTGACCATTCAGACCGTAACATTTCATGATTCAGCTTGAATCTTGATCGAACTGCTTCTAAATAGAACCATATTTAAGAAGTGACTATGATAAAAACTGATTTTTGTTTTACCTTTAATAATTAAGTATCGTTCATCCTTTACCAGTTCATCTTTAGTAATGGTTGTTATTTCTTCTAACGTAAATAACTTATCCATTACAAGTGCAACATAACGACCCATATGAGTTTGAGCACCATATAACTGAAGTAGATCTACAGATGCTCCTTCTGAATTTACATAAATCTAAAAAAAAACAACAGCCAAAAGTTCATAAGCAAAACCTGCTAAATATAACTCACTGATGTAGATTTAAATGGTGAATCGTCAACGATTATATTTTCATCACCAAACTGATCACCATTTAATGCGACATTGATCTTGAAAATAAAAATTTATTATTTAAAACGAAAAATATTGATAAAATTGATATTTACTTTTTTCTTTGATAATTCGACGAGAACAAAAGGATTTTTTTATCCATGGACAGAATATTGATATCTAAAAACGAAGTTAACTGTTCGAGAAATTTCTAGACAAATTAACAAACAAAAGTGAAAATCATATACATAGATATTATTAACATAAAAAGTTATTTTCAACAATCGATTCATTCATTATGTCCTTTATCTAATGAACAAGTCTTGAACAATTTCAATCAATCCAATGAGAAAGAAAAAAGCGACATCTTAGTATAGCTTTAAAATATGAGTTTTGTTTTTCTAAATCTTGATAAAACAAGTAGAACAAGAGAATTCTAATCATACTGATGATTATTTCTAATTTTTTTATATCACTACATATAGTTTGTTTGTTTTTGTGTATCGTTTCATCGTTAAAATCTGCTAGTCAAAACCGATCGATAACCGCGGTTAACCGTCGGTTCTAGCTTCAACCACCGGTCACCGCTGGTTCTTAGCACAACCGACGGTTACCGACGGTTTGATGAAAAAAAGAGCGACATGGGTATTATTAAATGGAAAAGTATTGGTTACTGGTGGATACAATGGTGTTAGTGTTTTAAATAGTGCAGAATTATATTAATTATTTCAAGCAAACTAACTTTTAGTTATCTAGTTTTTTGTCTTGCAAGTAGTTCAGCTTGTAAATAATAATTTAGTTAGAAGAATTTTCATCATATGACGTCTGCGAACTGTTTCCTTCCATATCTTTACTGAATTATCACATACTTTTATATTCGATTCCAAATAAAAAAGAATATTTTTGCTTTTTACACTTGTAGATTAATTTATTAAGATTAACAAAAGTTACAAGTGATAAAAAAGCTTTAATTAGCCTTTCAAATGTTTTCGTAGTTTTTCAGTGTCGTTTTTCATATAATATCTGATTATTTTGATAATATTCATAAGATTTAGTGCCTATGGTCATTGTAGCACTTGAGGGTGTGGGTGTGGGTGTAGATGAGTCTCTCTTTCTTTAATAGATACCCTCGCCCACCCAGTCACACCCTCAACTTAAACCACGATCGCACATTTTCATAAACATCGATAAACGATTTTATAGGAAAGAACAATATTCGTATTTATGTGTTTTCCATATATTCATTTTATTTTCATACTTAAATGTGCATCACAGCTGAGAAAATAAAACAAATAGACCTACACTAATACTGATCTAAAAGATATCGGTATGCTTAAAAATATGGGATTAAATTTATTCAGCAGAAACTCATCCTCAAGATGGTTTTCTAAGTTTATTTTAATTGAATAAGAAAAGAATATAAGATACAAATGAAATGATAATCAAATAGTCATAAACGAATATATCGATGTTTATAAAAAAAATGCGGAATGAAACTATGTGAACTAATAGCTAGACATGGGTCCCATCTTTCGACATAATTGAAAAGAGAATGCATTTTGGTAATTTCTTTAAGACTACCGATAGAAGAATTACGAAGCATATGTCCTCACATATCAATATGTAAAGCTAATATTTACAATAATGGACATTGACGATGTAAATAATTCGCAATTTCTTGAATATTGATTGTTTCAACATCATTAACAATTAAATAAAATTGTAAAAGATTTGGAAAGAGCGAGAGAAGAAAAACGAATTGTCCATTATGAAAGAAAAAGTTTTTAAGTCGACCGAGTCGAAGATATTTTATCGATAGAAAACAATGATTGATGAAATGAAATGGAGGAATGGAATCATTACATGAAAAATCCAGATATACTAAACAAGAACAAACCAATAATATCTTTTCTAATACATGACCTTGTTGTCCTCGTATTGTTAATTGACGAAGATTTTGTAATTGTATTGTCATCGAGCATGGAAAAATAATTGATTCACATCTATCAAGATGACAGACTTTTAAACGAGGAAATTCACCGTGAAATATTAATTGTATCAATTTAGATGAAGCATTTGACAAAACTAATGATTGTAATCGAGAATAATTATCAGGATGAATAATATTTTCGATTTTACTGGGAGGATAAGGAGATCGTTCTTCATAAAAGTCTTGATACCAGTCAAAATCTATTATCCAGTAAATTTCATACAAACGATTACCACCATTTATCAAAGGAGATTGACAATCACAATCTTCAAGGTGTGAACCATAAAATTTGACGAGAATTTTGTTAAATGAATCAAAAAAAGAGAGAACAGAAGGATCTAAATGTTCGTGTATCACAAGATTTAATTTCGGTAATGATTTGAGAATTAAATTGAAATAATTATTTAATTGAGAAAGTGAGAAATAAATTTGATCAGCTGTAAAATAAATAAATATTTTCATTAACATTTCCACAGGTAGATCCTCTAATCTAGTAATTCTCGGAGAATTCATTTCTTTTCTACTGCTTTTTTATATGAATCGCGAACATTATATAGTGTCTTTATTCTACTTCAGTTCACCAATCCGATCAAAGCGTCGACTATACATTCACTTTGTTAAACTTTGTGCATTGCAGACAAAACAAAAAATTTCGATTCTGCCTAGTCAAAAATTAAACAGAATATGATCACCTTTCTCTCCCGAAAATAATCGATTTTTTTCTGTTGAGGGTGGATGTGGGTTGAACTGAGAGTATAGATCATTCATGATATAAACTTGTTTTAAGAATAAATCGTTTTGTTCTTTCTATTTAAAAAAATCAAATATTATATTACATAAAAAATCATGTACAGCAATACAAGAAAAATAACTTAAATTTTGAATTTTCAAACAAAAATTTCTAAAGTACGATTCTCAGAACGTGCTTGTTTAATTTCTTGTTGAAATAATTTTCGATCAAAATCAGATGTACAATGATGAATTTCTAATACTCGTAATCTTCGATTAACATAGGACATATCGAAGATTTGACGAAGATTAAGAAGTGAAATCTCAATTTCTTTCAAAGATAAATGAGATATTATCGTATTCTTACGAAAAGCTTTAATTAATGTCGTCATAACAGTCTCTTCTATTCGTCCAACAAATCGTAGGTGAGTTATTGTTGAATTTGATTGTATACTTGAAGCAATGTGACTTATGTTTACATCAGGACTAATAGTAATTTGGAATTGTTTTAGTGTAAAACTGAGTGCAATTTCTTGTATTTGTTTATAAAGTGGATTTGAGGAAACGTGAGAGAAAGGTTCAACAGGCATTGCTCTTTCATTGGAAATTTGTGGTGGAGGATTACTGCTGTCTTTCTGAGATGAATGATAATATTTAGGACTAATACAGCTAAGAAACGATAGATACTTTTTGAATTTTTTGCGTAAAGAAGGTTTCCTATGCTGTACACGGGGTAGCAACTCAGATTCATGTACGCTACTTTCTCTGTTGAAAATCCGTTTTTCTCGATGAAAAACTGCACAGCTAGTTTCACTTTGAAGTTCAAGAATTTTTAATAACGGCAGTTGATTAATAGTCTCTGCTAATTGTGTAAGTGATGTTTCACAATTGATATCCGCCAAGTCTAATGACAGATGATGAACTGGTATAATTTGAAGAAACTTCTTAATAATTAGAACATCACTATTGTTATTGGTACACCATTTAGCAATTCCAGTTAACGTTGAATACCTGTTTTGTGATGATGCAAAGATAAAATCAAGTTGAAGGCAATAAGTAGAAGACGTGAGAGAAAATTTTTTCAAAGTGTTTTTTTCTTTCAACATTTGAAAAATTTCTACACAAACATCCGCTTGTTTTGGTCCATTCATTATATGTAATACTTTTAAGCTTTCATTTTTACAAAGAGAAAAGAGCCATTCTTGAGTTTCGTTTAATGTTGAAGGACAGTCCATAATCATTTCTTCTAGATTTTCACTATCGTCAACCAATTCACGGATAGTATTCCAAAGACTTTCGGAAAGAATTGCATTGTGTAGATGAAGTGTTGATACATTCAATTCTTCAAACATATTGTTAATGGCTGAAGAATATTTAACTGCATCAGTTTCGTCATGACTTTTTATAAATAGAGTAAATCCAGCTTCATTTGTTCCAGTTAATTCCAGTGAAGATGTTACTTCTGCTGGTCGAATTTTAAATACCAACCGTGAATTTGTTTCTTTGATAGCATTAAATAATTTTGATTGAAATTTTTCCAATGGTCTTGTAAATGTATATTCAATGATAAGGTTTCCAACGCTTTTTACTGTATTATTAAGCTGTGAAATTATGTCTCGTTTCGGTATATCTCTTCCATAATTTGTTAAGAAAATGTTTTCCAGTTCAAGTTTATCAATCTTATTTTTCATTGAGACGACATGAAGAAATTCTGAAAATAAATCTTTTTTCAATCTTAAGTTTTCCAATCTTATTGTACTGAATGTTAATCCTTGATCCAACAATTTGATGAACTTTTCAAACTTATCTTTGTGTAATTCCTTCACCAACGCAGCATTGTCTTTTATTTTTCCACCTAATTGTTGGAAGTCTTTTCGTAATTGTTGAATATTAGCATTTGAACATGGTCCACTGCGATGTTTAACACACACCCATCGAACATGACCATCAGAGGTAATAGAACGGTATAAATTTCCTAACGTATCATGATTATCCACTTTTTCCAAATACCTTCGAATTTGTCGTAGTGTAGCACCGTCTACTTCTTGAATTATTGCTTCTGTTGAAATATTCAGACATTCGTCAACTTTTGTTAAAATCTCACCTGCTTGCTCTGCTTTATCAATAATACTATTACAGAATTCCTTTTTTTGTAAAGCGGTAAAATTAGATAATCCCATATGGATTGATGACAGTTGTGGAAGAACGATGCTGCCGACGCATGCCATACCTTTAATTACTGTTAATATGTGTCGAAGATAAGGTCCATATTTACGAAAGAATTCATGTGGTTTGCTTATTTTATATCCGTCATGTAGAGCAAAATGACGTTCATTCTCGTTTTCACAGTCACATAGAAAATGCAAACGATATGTATGACAAAACCATGTTGAAGGATTGAACGCTGTTTCTTCTGGTAGTACGATGAAAAGATGGGGTATTGGGTATTCTGCTTGCTCAAATATTTGACGTTGAATAGCATCAATTTTTGTGTTAAAAATTTCAGTGTTCTTCAAAATCATATTTAAAGTGTTTGATAAGGTAGCTTCGTCTGCAGGCGTTGATGTATGACAATCAATAACATCATGAGTAGAAGCTAGAATTCGTTGTGGATAAATAACACTATTATCGTTGTATTTCACGAATGGTATTGGCTCGTCTTTCAGTGTAAATCTTCGAATACCAATAAAATGATCATGAACATCTTGTAAGAACAAATATCTGTTCTTGTTTATACACCGAACAGGTATGTCCACAATTCTACCTTCATACTGGCACTGTTGAAATGTCATTTGTTAAAAAATAAATGATAGGTATGAATAAGAAAGAAAGAGATTATAAAACTATGGTAATAATTTAGTGAATGAACGAATCTCTTTTCATTAATGTTTATATACTACCACCACTTGGAATCAAGCATTTTTCCCCATGAGTCATCAAATACCTATAATGCACTTTTTCTGCCAGACTCTCAACCATAAATCGAAAGTCATGAATTTATTCTTTTGAAATGAGTAATTCAAAAAAATTGTGCCTGACAGATTTATGCATTACAGTTGCCGACGAACTCATTGTTTGCACAGGTTTCACTTACGCACAATGAAATGGAAAAATCATACAAAAACAATTGCCTTAACAATATTAAAACGTTGAATCATTTTTCAGTTGTAAGTCAACGACATGACTTGGTGACAATCAAAAACAATCCATTTTCAATGGTTGAATAACAGACACGAAAATTGTTGCAGCTTATTATATGATGTTTTGAACTTGAGGAGTGTGGGTATGCGTGTATATATGAATGAAAGTTCTTTTGTAGTCGTTCACCCACACCCACAATGAAACTATTCGCATCACTCTGAAGCAATTTTTTCTCTGTGAGTAAAAATCTTAGAAGTCTCTTCGGTAAACAATATTTCTTTCTTCTCGATGCGAGAGAACGAAGAAAAAGAAAAAAAAAATTATTGATCGATTGAAAGCGTGCACTTTATATTTTTTATTTTCATAAATATTAAAAAGTTGCACTGTAGTTGACAACCTAGGTTTTCATTTTTTCTCTACAACATGGCCGCCGATAATTCAACGTCAGCCGATGTTCCGACCGAGCCGCAATGGTACTGGGTGTTCAATGAATCAGAAATGGTTTTAAAAGTCGATCGTCATACTGGAGGGTATCTGCCTATTTTCGATCGCAATGTTCCATCAGGGTGGCAATCCTATTCAAAAGAAGTAAATGAGTGGCTTGAACGTGCGTTGTCTTTAATGAAGAAATCTCGGATATATGACGAGAACTGTGGTCCACTACGAATGGGACTATTCTTATCAATGATTAAAGGAAAACTTGATTATAGCTGGAGTGATCAGGCCGTTGATTTTTGCAATGGTATTGTGATGATTGACAGTGACAACTATGTCAATATCAATGAAATGAAACAATATAATAACTATGATGCTACAAAATGCAGACAAGTAAAACGCGAACGTAAGATTATTCTTCAATATAAAAAAAAGAGAAATCAAAACGTTAGAAAAAGTTTAAAATGGTGCCTTTTTATACGGCTACCACTTTTATATTCATATCATTATCCATGCACTTAGACAACCCTTTGAGTCCGGGGTTATTTTTATACGGTAAACGTTTTTCTAATTTCAAATCAACGTTTACTCTGCAAAAGATATCACGAGATGTATAATTCAAAATAGTTTTCAACTATTATAGTTCTTAAGGCAATCCATAAGATACAATCCTACATCACATTCAATACATTCATACAAAGTATTTTTCCTAGCCTTAAGTCACATCACAGTATTAGCGCAAACCTAATAACCAGTTGTATTTTGTCCGCAGTGACATTTTATGCCGAAAATGCACTTTATTATATTTGCCAAATAGGATCAACTGATCAGGCTCTGTTCGATAAATGGCATTTTTGAGGAGTTCTTATAAGACGAAACATCTTTATGTAACTGACAGTTCTGTGTAAGAAGTGCGATCAGACTGGTTTATATTCTAACTAGTTAATTATAGACTATTGTCAGATACATTGAGGAGCAACCAACAATCTCCACTATATATAAACATATTTGAATGTACAAATAGCATAAATGCAAACATTTATGCAATATTTGTTGTTAGATAATCAGCAAAACCATGCCTTTTAGAATTATTCAAGTCCCAAAATATCAGGACACGAAATCCCGTCGTCCGAACTCAAAGGGTTAAATAGAGTATTTCCATCTATTACTAGTATTAATAATATCCAACTATAAATTAAATACCAATCCTATACTTCCCATGATTAGTCCGAAAACGTTTTTTTCTAATTTTTGTATAGCGCCAATAACCAATCGAGACGATTATCATTTTCATACTCAAGAAGATATTATCGGGCAAATGTTATCAAGTGCAGAAGCAAGAACCAATAGTATCAAATCAGAATACAAAATGAAGGAAACAATTCAGAAATCAAGCGACAAATTTATTTCAGATGACAAGCAAAAAGGGTGTGGGTGGGAGGATCAGGGTGGAGGCTGGTGAGTGCGGATCTGCGTGGGTTTGAGTGTGTGATGAATGATACTTTTTACACTTACACCCACACCCACACCCTTTAAAAGAAAATATTTAAAAAAAAAGAAATCGTTCGAAAATAAAATTTTACTGTAAAACATAAGTAAAGTGTATTCAAGTAATTGATTAATTCGTTTGTTGATACCATAAAATGCTGAATAAAGATTAATCCAATCAAGATAATCAAAAATTTCAAGCCAAAGTTCATTCGCTAGATCTTCAATACATGATGGATTTCTATTCAACATTTGTTTTGTTTAATTCACTTCGCCAATGAATTGATTCTTTCTATTATACCCACCCTGTTGCAAGAAAAGAAACTCTAAATGTTGTTAACTGCAGTCTGCAATGACTCTTGAAATAATATTTGCAATGGCAACACATGTGTATGCATGGAGAAAAGCAGTAAAAATGAAACATTTGCGTCACTTGTTTTGAGCGAGAATCAAAACTCATCCTTACCCTCACCTCACACCCTTATGACGTCTTTATTTGTTATTTATTTTATTTTCAGTTATAATCGCAGTATATAAATAAAATAAAGAGTTATGCTTTTTAAGTCATCGAATCCAAACATAAAAAGTATATGAAAAATTCATGATACCATTATGGATTCTGAAATCACATATTGATGGTAAATGAAGTGTTAACCATTCGTTCAGTTCATTCTCAGAAGAAGTCAATATACTATCTTCATTTTGCAATAAACGTATTTTTAATGATCGAAGATTTCTTAATTGATTAATTAATTGAAGTATATCATCGAGATGTTTAATTGATAACATAAGAACTTCACATTTTTGACTTAATTGACTATGAATCAATATTTCACATTCTTCACGATTAAATGTATAGTGTGCAAAATCTAAACACCGAATAGAATTATGTTTTAAGTTGAAAAACAGTTTATATTCAATCTCATCCTCATCAAGACATAATTCTAATGTATGAAGATTCGGCATGCGATTAAGCAGTAATTGCAATTCATTTTCAGGATGATCATATTGTTTATCTGCATAAAACGTAAGTATTCGTAGTTTTTGCAAATTGAAAACATGTGACCAGAGTTCATCGTTAGCAGGATCTTGAAGATCTAAGTGATGAAGATTTGGAAATAAAAATGAATGTAAATGAAAAAATCGTGAATACGACAGAACCTCTACATGACCATATGAATTATAGACATTATCATCAGGACAAGTTGATCTATAACAACTTGAACTGAGAATGCCTGAACGATTTATCCGACTAGGTAAAGTAGTTAATACTATTCCTGGCCATCCTTTCGATTCTGGCATTTTCTCCCAATGACATCGAACATACCATTGATGTTCCTCAAGCCAAAATGAACTTCGAAATGAATTCAATAATCTATCGACATATTCTTCTATTTGGTTACAGTCATCCGCTGCTAAGTCCATATATAGACGAAATATTTTTAATTTAGGTAAATAAGTTTGAATAATATATTCCCACTGTTTTCCATCAAGATAAAATCGTTCCATATGAACTGTTAGATGAGATAAATTTGGTAAATATTTCCAAAAAAATAACGTACTTGTCGTAACTCGCATGTACACGTTCAATCGAGTTAACGTGAAAGTGGTATTAAGTGAAAGTTCTTTTCCAGGCTCAGAATAATCTATAATATTTGTGTTTAAAGATCGAAGATAAGGTGTATTTTTCAGTAATTTTAGTAATACATCCCAATCCATACAACCACTTTCAAATAATAAATATTGCATTGATAATGATGTGACATCCGGGGCAATAAAATTTGTCCATGTGCCATATATACCATTTAAATAACAGTATACTAAATAATTAAGACTCCAAATACTATTAATAATCGTATGGAAATCAATTTTCAGTGTAAAATTACAATTAATGATACTTAAATTCGTAAGATATGGTAATTGATGCCATTCAATTATTAATCTTTCCATGAGATTTGAAGAATTAATACAATAGAATGAAAGTGCACGTAAATGAGAAAGTTGAAGAAAGGATGGAAAATAAATTAGAATATATTTTGATTGTACTGGTGTATTATCATCATCAGAAAAACGTAATGAAATAATTTGATTTCGAATTAATGGAAGATATTTTGTACATATAACATGAAAATCAGATTTGGATACAGATTGAAAATCAAGATGATATGAGTGAAAACATTTGAGAAGAAGAATATTAAATCGATAATTAACATTATAAAATGTATGAAAAAGATCTTCAATTTTGAAATATTCAAAAAGATCAAGTAATATTTCATTGGCTAAACATTCCAAATTCATTTCAACCCTGCTGAGAGAAAAGAAACTCTAAATGTTGTTAACTACAGCTTGCGAAAGAAGTTCTGTTACTGTAGATGCAATGACTCTTGAAATAATTTTTACAATGTCAACACATGTGTATGCATGGAGAAAAGCAGAAAAAATGAAACATTTGCGTCACTTGTTTTACGCAAGAATTGAAACTCACCCTCATCCGTTGCAATTCGCTCTGGAGGGTGTGGATGCGGTATTAAAAGAACATCCTTACTCTCATCGCACCCTCAAGGTGGTTTTTTTATTTATACACTATTTACCAATTTGCTGGATTTGTCAAATGAGGAAACATTTGTCGTGCATGCTTTAAAAAATACAGAAATATTGTAGTAACTTTACCTTAGAAGAAACAAAATAAATCAGATAAAAATATAAAGAGAAAGTATACATATATATGTGCGTATTATTTTAATAATTTCTAAGCTATAAATATGTCTCTTATAAAATTAGTCAAAGGCAAAGACCAACGCACAAAATATGAAAAAATTGATCATCGAATACGAAACATGGTCAAAGAATTTCATACTGTTTCTAGGAACGACTATTTTATAGTAGCCAGATCAGCGTTGAATTTCTGAACGAATACATTATTTACTCTCAATTATTACTCACTTAGCGTATTTGTTCATTTATTGTAAATAAATACTATTTATCTCTTGAGGGTGTGTGTGTGAATGTGGATGCTAGATGAATAGAGTATCCAAACCACACCCACGCCTTCTATAAAGAAGCATAGTAAAAAATAAATCATGCGAAGACAAACAAATATATAATTATGGGCATCATTTTCGAACCAGAGTGTTGCTGAATGGATGATTTCACATGAAAAAATCATTTCTAACTTCCACAATATGTTCATTGAATTCACTTTTACGCATCTTTGCATCATCGAAACATTCATTCATAGGCAACTGATACGTGAAAGTAGGATTGTTCTTATTGTTATTGTATCCATATATTTTGTATTTTTCTCACTGTTCTCTCTTATGTTGCATTGTGTTATGATATCCATGTAATTTGATGATATTACAGTGTACGTGTGTACTAGAACGTAAGAATCAATATTTTTCACTAAAAATATTTAGTTTTTTTTTTTGATTAGCACTATTTTCATCAAAAAAAAGTGTATGAAATGACTTTTACCCTTTTAGAGTTGTGGTCACAAAATCAAAGTGCAATTAAATTTAGATGTTTTCGACACTATCAAAACATATCAAAAAGAAAAACATTGGTAATAAGTGTGAATTTCATATTTTTGTTGTATTGCATGAATAGTAACAAATTGTTACTTATGTTTCCCTATATATTTTTCTATCACATGTGTATCTAAGTTATTGTCATGTGAGGACAGTAGTTAATTGTTTTATTGACTGAAAACAACTTTGTTCGTTTCTCTACCTCTATATATATAGATACACCTTTTCTCATAGTTTCATAAACCAGTTCTCATCATACTCTAGTTTTATTCTTCACTACATTATTACTATTAATATGCCAGGCTGTGGTTGTGGTTGTGGTTGTGGTTGTGGTTGTGGTTGCGGTTGCGGTTGTGGTTGCGGTTGTGGTTGCGGTTGTGGTTGCGGCTGTGGTTGTGGCTCGTGCTGTAAATCATGTTGTAGTTCATGCTGTGATCCTTGTTGTTGCTCTTGCTGTGATCCTTGCTGTGATTGTTGTTGTTGTGATCCATGCTGCGATTGCTGCTGTGGTCCATGCTGTTGTGTACGTAAAACTGTATGTTGCTGCAAACCATGTTGCAAAGTCATCAGAAAGAAAACCGTCACCGTTAAAAGATCATGCGCCAAAGTTTGCTGTTGTTAAAATTAACATTTTTGTTCATTTTCTATGAACTTATTCAGTATCTGACGTATGAATGTTAGAGAACATTCTAACAACATTCGTATTATTTTTTTGTCTCTTCTTTCTGTCATCCATGAGAATATATTGAAATTCTCATCTTCTATGTTTTTCTTATTTTACTCCCCATTTTCATTTACTTCTTACACAGTTAGAAAGAAGATGTAGCACATCATCTTCTTTGTTTTATTCATCTATCTCTCACTTCTATGTGTACCTGGATAGAAAGGGTATGAATAGCTAGTTTTTTTTCAAAATAAAATGACTTCGTAGATAAGGAAAATATTCTTCTTTTCATTTGATCAATTCAGTTACGAAATGGCCTTATAATAATGAAGAAGAAAACTTATTTATTTATTCTTTATGCATTTGATTCCTGTAAGAGCCAGTGCAACCAAACTGTACACGACGTATTATTTCGACTATAAAGCGAATTAAAAGTTGGATAAGTTTACTTTTATGCTGTATAATAATAAACTACATTGTTCTCTTTTTACTTTTTGTTATACAACTGAGGTATATCAATAAACAGTCTGGCTGATTTTCTTGGATAAAAAATGTTCAGTGTAAGTTGAAGCATTCTTGTTCCAATAATCAAATAGTATTGTTTCAAAACCCTTATCAGTCGTATTTTCTTTTTTATCATGAAATGCTTATATTTTATCAATGAAAGTATAGGAAGCTGCACTTGAAAATTCTTATTATAGTAGAATGACTGTAACATTATATTTGGCTTTGTACATATCGAACTGATCGATCTTATGTCGAATTTACTTTTATTATTATCGACATAAATGTTTTTTTCTAACAACAAAAAGAAATTCTTTTTTGAATCTTTCGGATGGTAAGATAAATACTGGAGTGATAAATAAAGGGTATGGGTGCGGGTGATCTCGTTAGATCAACAAGGGACACCCACATCCACACCCATACCCTCAAGAGGACAACCACGAAGCTGAAACATAGAAACACTGAGAGTTAAGAAGAAAACATCATTTGAAGGCAGTTCTAGTAATGTCTAAAAATGCTCTATTTAGTACTAAGAAGAACTAAGAATTTTAGTTTTGTTAACGAGTAAACAAAAAATATATTCGAACGAAGTAAAAATTGTTAGTTTACATAATTTTGTAGTTAGTCAACAGAAATATATTAATCTATATATTAAAGATAAATAAACAGAATAGATTTCTATTGAATTAAAAAGAGCTTTATCAACAAAGATCAGATATAAACGAAATCAAATATTAACATATAGTTTTTCTTTTTATTAGAGAGAAAAACTTATTTCCAAAGGAATAGAAAAAATATAGAATTTGTTTTAGTGTTATGACTAATTAATAGACAACAGCATTTCTCTGGTAGAAGAGAGAATTAATTTTTTTTAAAGAAAAATATCGAGACCAACCAATAACAGAATTGACATTTTTCTCTTATGAACTGTACTTTTAGAAAAAAAAAGAGAAAAGGACAAGTCATTTTATAAAATAAGACGTGTTGATAAAACAAAGAAAATAATATCGTATGTATGTTTTATTTTATAGAAATATCTTGACTTTTGTAAGAAGACAACTGTTGTTTATTGAATCAATTCATTATAGATTATCTCGATTTCATTTAAGTTTTAAAAAGGTAAGTTTTCAAATAATTTCGAATAAATTTGAAGTTATGAATCAGTTTATTTTTCAACAAATTTTCAAATCTCTTCTTGATTTTATTAAGAGACATATTTAAGTAAATAATATAAAGAAAATTTCTCATATTATTTATGAAGATTCACTCGATATCTCATTTTGTTTTTGACATCTGAAAATTTAATTTTAGTACTAGTCATTAATTAGTTGGAGCGAACTAAAAGGACATTTTTTTATCACTAATTACGTCGTTTACCTGGCTGTTTTTTAATATTTTTCTATCATTGTGAGTTAAAAAGATACAGCAAAGGAGAAATTTTAATTCCCTAAAGATGTCCGTATAGAAAATGGATACATCGCGCAATAATATGCCATCTGTTATTGTGACTTTTTATTTTTATAAATTATATTTTACATTTGATATAGTCGTTTGTTGCAATACAAATAAGTTCCTGAATACCACACATTTTTATTAGATTCACGTAATGATTTCTATGATACCCAATGAGATGCAAGGATTAGTTAAAATTTTTTCTTCCAATACAAATAAAAAAACTTTCTTCTTTTTTTTTACGTTTTGTTTTCTGATGAATAACTAAGTAAAAGAAATGTCTTCAATAATAGCCATATGTTGCCTTATTCTGTAAAATTTTATTTGTTTTAATAGAAAATTTAAATTCACAGAAAAAATATTTATCACGAATGTAAAGATACAAAATTAGGTTAGTATTTCTGTTTGCAAACTAAACAAAAATAAAAAATAATTCTCTAGTGATAGATCTGTGTTACATATTTTCATTCGATTAAGACTGATAAGATCAAACTTCGATTGTTTGAAAATGCATAGGAATATTATCATAGTATTAAATAAAATATTATGTTTTTTACTTGTCTCATAATTCTATTCTACTAACGCTTCTTTGTTTAATTTTATAGAGAAAATATTACTAAGAAGATTTAATTTAGATATTAATCATCATGGTTGACATATATTTGAAATATCTTTCGATAAAATTAATTGTGATTATTACTGCGTAAGAAATATTATATTTACTTTATTAGATTATATAGTAAAAATAATTTTTGTTAGATTTTTAATTGATAAAAGTTCAACTTTATCTATTTGTCCAACGGCTGTTTGGGCAACGAAAGGGACCACAGTAGCTGGTTCACAAAACGGCTATTCTGGTTCTCTATTGAGCCGACTTATTCAACCAACTATCGTTATTGTCGACAATAGCAGTAATATTTATGTGGCTGATGGTGGAAATTTTCGTATATTACTATTTCCACCAGGTTCAACTCAATCAACTTCAGGTACACTGATAATCAATGGTAGCTCTGGTACTGAACTTGATCAATTCGGAACGAGTAAGTATACAATTATTTTATTGATATTTTCATTGCAGTTTTTCGATTTATTCTAGTGGATGGTATGAGTATAGATACGAATGGTAATATTTATATATTGGATGGAACTTTATCACGTGTAACAAAATGGACACCAGGATCTACGAGCGGTATTCTTGTAGCTGGTAGTGTTCCTTTCGTTGATTATTATGATGGACATATGGATAACATAAGTGGACCTGGTGGAATGTTTATGGAACCTGAATCATCGTTTATTTGGATGGCTGATACAAACAATAGCAGAATCGTAAAATGGGTAAATTCATCTACAGCATTAACAGTCTGTGGTAGTTATGGTACAAACCCCGATCAATTTATTTATCCATTAGGATTATTCATTGATACAACTGCTGGAAATACACTTTATGTAGTAGATAGTGGAAACCATAGGATACAAAGGTGGCTATCAGGTGCAACTAGCGGAATCACTGTAGCCGGAATAACTAGTTATTATGGTGATAGACTCGATCAACTGTGGGATCCAACAGCAATACTTGTCGATAATAATCAGAATATGTATATTGTGGACTCGAGCAATTCTCGAATTCTCAAATGGAAAATAGGTGCAAGTTCTGGAATGATCATCGCTGGTAATGAACCATTCGGGGGACAAACGTCAAGTCAGCTTTGGTATCCAAATAGTATTAGCTTCAGTTCGAATGGAACACTTTATGTTGCTGATACTGAAAATAATCGTACACAAAGATTTTCTATTTCTTGCCGTAAGATTTGTTTAAGATTAACAATTTTATTTTAATATATCCATATCCTCTTTTTACTATAGCGACAAATATATCGACTACAACTGTTTCATCAGTAACTACAACGAGTAAGTATCATATTATGTTAAGTAGAATAGACATTCATTTTAATATGAATCTTTTCTATTTTTTACTGATTTTGAGATAGCATTTAACATAAATAAATGAGTCATAGAAGTTTTCGTATCAAAAAAATTCAGTAAGCAGTTATATAACTTGAACACTAAAAATAAGATAGATGCAGTTTAAATAACGTTTTTTTGTTTTTTACTAGTACCTATTTCGACTACAAATTGTTCAATGACTGTTTGGGCAGAGAATGCAACAACAATTGCTGGTTCACCTATAGGTATTGCAGGTCTTACTTCAACATTGCTAAGTTATCCAATGGACGTCAGGGTTGATGCCAATGATTCGATTTATGTCATTGATTATGATACATACTATCGTGTGCAAATTTTTTATCCAGGTAGTCTATCAGGAATAACAATCATTAACGCTTCGTTTGGCACAGATCTCAATCAATTCTCTAGCAGTAACTAATCTAAGATATTTTATATATAATCTACGTTTTCTTCAATTTAGTGAATGCTCTTTACATAGATATGAGCGGTAATTTCTATATACTTGATAGCGATAATTTTCGTATTACAAAATGGGCTCCAGAAGCATCAACAGGTATACTTGTAGCCGGTGGTAATGGAATAGGCAGTTCTCTCGACAAACTAGATGGTCCTACTGACTTTTTCGTTGAGCCAAATACATCCTATATTTCGATTTGTGATTCAAACAATCATCGAATTGTAAAATGGATGAATGCATCAACTGGGATACTGGTCGCCGGAGGGAATGGTCAGGGTACAAAAGCTAATCAATTCGATACTCCAATGGGATTATTCGTTGACACATCTACTTCGAATACACTTTATGTAGCAGACACATATAATTGTCGAATCCAACAATGGCTTTATGGAGCAAGTAGTGGATCAACAGTGGCTGGAAAATCATCAGGTACATGTGGTAGTACACTTAATCTACTTTATTATCCAATAGCTTTGATTATGGACACGAATGGAACAATGTACATCGTGGACAATGGAAATAGTCGAATCGTTTTATGGTTATTAGGAGATACATCGGGCAGAGTCATTGCTGGTTCAGGTATCGCTGGAGTATTACCAGATCAATTAAATGATCTTTCTACTGTCAGACTTGATTCAACTGGAGCAATTATTATCAGTGATTCCGGTAACAACCGTATTCAAAAGTTCAGTGTTGTTTGCTGTAAGTTTAATAAAAAATTATTTAATTTAATTAGCTTTTATAAGATATCTTTGAAGTGTAAAGATATGTCTGATGAGAAAACCTTACCAACTGCCTAATCGTTGTTTTCTAATAAAAGCTATAGGGTTAGAGATTATTCATTATGCTGATTTTGAATATGACCACGAAAAGCTCTCTTCGACCTTCATAGGATGGTTTTCTAGAAAATTGTTTTCAAAAATAACAAGTATTTTAGTAACTATTGTTTTATATCCGCTCAGATCTCTCATGACCTCATCTCTAGACTCATTTCCTTCTTATACGTATTCAGTTCAATGACAACTATTGTAACTTTTGGAGTGGTCAGGACTCAGCGAGTCAATCCACTTTATATAAGCAGCTCAAATAAAAAAAAAAAAAAAAAAATATCCGCTCAGATTATAGCGCGTATTGAATTGTCTGTAAGAAAAACATCAAATATTTCTATTCTAGATAGAATCCTCGAGAAAATATAGTCATGTAAATCCATATAACAAGTGTTCACTATAATCATTTAATATCAAAACGAAAAGTTTTCTATTATTTTTCTTGAAGTTCATTCTTCCAAAATAGAAAAAACTGTCGGTTTAAGAACAATTCAATACGTTCTTACATAATCTTATCAGATAAAAAACAACAATTAGTAAAAACTTTATTATTGTTGAAAACGATTCTACAAAAATCTAAGGAGATTTTTCATGTCCAAATTTTGAATCAGTATGGTGAATAATCTCTAGTTAAATAGCTTTTGTTCATAACGCGATCTTTGAAATAAATATTTCTTATTTAGTATTTATTTATTAATTGCAAAATAACCTAAAGAAAAAATTAAGTTTTTATTTTTATAATAATATTCTGTATCTGTAATAGATCTCATATTTATTAGAGAAATATGTAATTTTAATTAAAATATATGTATATAACTAATATCTATTGTTTTTGTCTAAAAAATTGTTATATAATAATAAAATTGGAAAAAAAGTCAAAATTAGAAAGAAATTCTCGATAAACATTTCAGATTTTGACCAGCAATTTAATACGAATGAAGAAAAAAAAGAATTTTATTCATAATTTATTTTGGTTAATCATCTGTTTTTATTTCATATTTTCTAGCGCCAAACATGATAATATCATCAACATCATCATCACCATCATCAACAAAACCATCATCATCATCATCATCGACAACATCGTCATCGTCATCGACAACTTCATCATCATCAACAACATCATCGTCGTCAACAACAACAACATCAATTGATGTTACATTACAAAGTGAGATGAAATACATTGGATTATAAAAATATCTAAATTATATGATTATGTGTTTTTGTTGTAGACACGACAATGACTGATTCATCTACTACGAGCAGCCTTTCAACACCAGCCAGTAAGTAGAAAATTATTTGAAATGGAGTGACTATAAAGAAAAGTTTATATAAAAATAAAAAATGCAGGCATCACATATGTTAAGTTTTACCGCATATAGAATGATCACAGCTTTCAAATATAATATAAAGTTATTTATTATTCGTACGTATTCAATAATTGATCCGGTAATGTTTATTTTCAGTAAAGAAGAACTCCGAAATAGTTTAGAAAAAAAAGCTATTTTTTAATGTAAAAGTATTGAATAAAACTATAGAAATAGTATAAATACAGGTAAATAATATTTTAGTAAATCGATATCTCGGTATTTCTTCTAGTTGACTGAACAGATAAAATTTGGAAAGTTTTTTTTTTAAGATATTTTATTAAATATTCTAGAGTGTCGATTTAAAATACGTAAATAACTGGTGGCAAATATCATTTCATTCTATTTTGAGAACTTCTCTTTAATATTTTATAATAAAAAAAAAATATATTTCATTAAGAAGTTTCTAGTGTCTTCCACTCTATTTAGTATTATTATACTAAATAATACAAATAGTATAAAAAAACATAAGAATTCGATTTAGGATCTTTTAAATAAGATAAAATTCTTATAAAACTTCGGCAATACGCAAAAGATTTAATTAATAACTTGACCAAAGAGAAAATTAAAAATTTGTCAGTACAAAAGATTATAGAAATGTAAAATTATAATCTATGTGAAACACAAACAAAATTATTCAGTTTTTCTTCTGCAACAATGTTTTATACATATTTATATAAATAAATAAATCATAATCAAATAGCGAATTAGAAATCGTAGAATACTAGTGTTACAGAAGATCGATAATTGAGATATTTATCATATGTAAATATAATCTTTTTTCTGTATCAGATAATTCAACAATTATACTATCAGCTTCAACATCAATCGCAGATTCTTCTACAGTATCAACAACATTTTTAATGATAGAAATGGTCACTACATTACAAACGAATAGTTTAACTAATACAACAACACAATTATCATCAGGAATGGATTCAGACTCTGAATCATCAGATAACGTAGCTCCAGCTCTTAATCTGAATTCAAAATTATTTGCATTATTATTTTGTGCTTTTATGATTTCTATAAACAATTAATTTTTCATTTTATTCATTGATTAATCTCTTTCTAATGCTTTCAATGTATTTATAATTATTCATTTGCTTTTTTGTCTAGTCAACAAACTAAACCTGCTTTAAATTTTGTAATAATAAAATTTATTTAACCGTCAATACTGAGTCTACATTGATCGAATTAAATCTTCAGTTCATACATAACCCATCTAAACTTATTTTGATAATAATTTAAATCCTACTGCGAATAATATTTGTATAAGACTAACTTCAGTCAACGTGAATGAGAGAGAACAAGAGATTATATGATAATTTCAATCACTCACGCTATTAAATAAAGCGACACTGCTAGAACTCAATTTTGTATCTCGGAAGAAATCATCGAAACTAACATTTTAATCTTTTACTTGTTCTTATCTATACTCCTTTTAAATTGAACTTAAATTAATATAACGCAATGAATTATTGAGTAATAAAAAAAAACTGAGAATATTTCAATATTACAGATGAATAATGAAGTAGTAAAACAAGTGATTATATTATCCTGTTGTCACTCTTAATTTCGTTCGTAATTCTTTATATGCATACTTGACACTCAAGTGACATCATTCGGAAAGATTTTCAGAGGTATACATTTTTTTTTATTAAACTAAACTATTTGATAAATACTATAAAAGAATTTATCTCCTATCGAATTTAAAGAGAAGAAGAAGAATGCAGGTGCAATTAATATTCCGAGATTTTTTTTATAACAAATACTTATGTTCGATAAGTACTATGAGATAAAATTATTCATGAGAATATGCAAGTAGCTTGAAAAAATCTAAGTATTATACGACAATCATAATTCACTTTAGGATATAAAAGAATATATTTTTCAGATATTCAATTTTATTTCTCCATTTCTTTTTTCAAGGATGAAACTCTTTATTACTATTGTTAGTCTTTATGTAATTGGTCTTCATGCAGTACCTTTAGTTAAAGTAAGTCGCAATAATTAACTAATAGATTATATTATTAAAAATACTTATTTAGGAAAATTATGTTCGTAATCCAGAAGAAATGGGTAAGTCTATCTTTTTCACATTACTTTATTTTTATAAATATTGAAATTTTATTTTAGGTGGTCATTTTCAAGGTGATATGGTTTTTCCTGATGATATACCTGTAAAATTTTCTATATTTGAATATTTAATATGTATATTCATTTTTCTTGTATAATAAAAAAAGCGTGGAGCAGCTCATAGACCAACATGGCAACGATGGCCGGGTGGTTTTATACCTTATGATATGACAGCATCTATTTGTTTGTATATTTTTATTCAGTTTTTCTTATTATTAAATGAATTTTCTATTTAGCTTTTAATCACACTATACTCATTACAAATGCTATGAGAAGGATGGAAGAATTAACACAAGTAAATAATCGTCCATGTATACGATTTCGTCCAAAAACGGATCTAGATTCAATATTTATCACGATAACAAATGGAAGTGGTTGCTCAGCTCATGTATTATTGAACTAAAATATTGTTATTTGAAACAAAAAAATTGAATTATTGTTTTCTTCTTAGGTTGGCTATCTTGAAAATTATACATTAAATCGTACTCTTACTTTAATGTATGCACCGCCTTATACTTGTATGATAACTGGAATTATTCAACATGAACTTCTTCATATATTAGGTAAATTATTTTCTAATAAAGTTATTCATTATTAATGTTTAAATTTAAGGATTTTTTCATGAACAATCTCGTCCTGATCGTGATGAATACGTTTCTATTCAATGGGCTAATATTATTAACGGTAACGAAACTTTTATTCTTTAAATTTAGTTATTTAAAATAAAAATTATATACAAATAAAATATAGGCACAGCATTCAATTTTGATAAATATACCGAAGAGGATATTGATACTCTGATGTTACCATATGATTATGGATCTGTCATGCATTACGAAGCAAATGCATTTACTGTTAATGGACAACCAACAATAATACCAACGAAAAATGCCACTGCATTTATTGGACAACGTGTTGGTATGAGTGAGATAGATGTTCTTGAAGTTCAGCGATATTATGGATGTCTTCCTACTCCAACAACAACAACAACTACCACCACTACTACAACCTCAACAACAACAACAACTACCACCACTACTACAACTTCAACAACAACATCCACAACAACATCCACAACAACTACTAGTGTTACATCTTCAATGACCACTGAAAAATCGATTAGTACAAATCTCCTTCCAGGAAAAGCTCTGGCAATTTTACTATGCGGTGTTGTTTTTTGGTGGGACTCTTTCGTCTATCAATTAAATAATTTGTAAAAGAAGATCATTAATAAATTAAAACAAGAATAAAATAATATCAATATTTTGAGTGAAAGAAAAAAATTGTGTTTATTTCGAATGTTGAATACAAATTCTTTCTAATTGATTCAATAATCAAATAAAAACAATGATTATGCTCACAATTTATTTCTTATAGAATGAAGATGATCTATCTTAAGTAGCAATAAACTTTAAAAGATAAGAGTAAGAGAATTCTGCCGTATTTAAAACTATACTAATTCGTTTTGATATAATTATAATCATATACTATGAAAAATTCAATTCCGATTTTTTCTTGCTTAATTACAGAAAACAATATATAAGGAGTAAGAAGTTCTGTATCTATAATTGATTGTATATCTTTTCTAACCGCTCAAAATTCATATTTTAATGACTCATGTATCGAATATCTATAGATATGCTATTCAATGTTAACAATACTTTGTTTTTCGTTCTTATTCACTTATTACGTATGACATCAATAAAAATATCCAATAAACACTCATATGATTCAAGCTCTTTGTTCGATTCACATAATAGAACAATTGTATTATAATACTATGCATTTAACATGATCAAATTGAATAATAAAAAGTAATCAAATTAGAATTCAAGAACAATATTTTTTATCATTAATATCACGATCATTTTTGTTTTAGTTTTACATATAAGAAAGAAGCATTTTTTCTAATCAATATAGTTACATATTCAAAACAGCGTGATCATAACTTGATTTATTATTGCTCGTGTATTCATGCTTGAATGCATTTACTTTTCTTTTTTTTTTGCTTCATCACTATACATACACATATATTTTGTATGTTGCGAATAGTTGCTATTTGATAAGTTCAATATTTCGCAATGCCTTTACTGAGTACATGGGGTATGTTTCGATGGAGTTTATTTATAACTGTTCTTATAATGATTACATGGATATATTTTTATCATGATCCTGCTCCTCCAATGGTCTTACCGGAAATATCAAAAAATACATTCGAATTTATTCGTCAAAATATAAATAAATCTCATCAAGCTACACAAATTGAAACACTTTGGCGACAAATAGTTACGAAATTTGTTTCATTACCATTACATCCCGGTGGATCACATTCTATTCCTCTTCTTGCTTCGATTGTTCTCACGAATGGTTCTATTTTAGAACTTGGTTGTGGTCGTTCAAGTACACCAATGCTTCATAATCTAACACTTTTTACTCGTCGTTATCTCTTATCAGTCGATTCACATAAAGCCTGGCTATCTAATATGTCATCTTCTATGTCGAATAGTCCATTACATAAATTTCAACATGTTACAGATTGGAGTACAATTGGAAATGATCATCGATGGAGTGTTGTTCTAGTTGATAATGCTCCGGAACAACGTCGAATGCATGATATTGTTAAATATGCTTATCGATCACAAGTTCTTGTTATTCATGATTCTGAAGCTGCTGGATATCAATATGATAAAGTTGCACCATTTTTTCCTTATAAATATCAATATCAATATATAGAAGCATATACCGATGTTTGGAGTACAACAGAAACATCATTAATTGATCATATTCGATATTTATCCGAATTAACAATTCCATGGCAATTACCACGTCGAGCTCCAAAAAATAAACTTCCTACACAATAAGAATTTTTTTTAAAAAAATATTTATTGATTTAAATTAGTTATACTATTAAAAAATAAATAGGAGAAATTTTAGTGAAGATGACAATAGTTTATTCTGTTAAATCTATCGTAATTGAATTTCCATTTTGTATATGATGAAGATTTGGAATTATATTTTCATCTTTATATTTCTCTAATTCTAATTTAGCATCGTCAATAGTATAATTATGTCGTTTAAGAAATAAAGAAACTAATCCACTTGCTATTTTATTTTCATCATGTGTACCTATCCAATGTTTTACTTTAAGACCTATTGCAAGTTTAGCTGCTTGATTACATCCATAATTAAGTAAACCACCAAGCCATATTGGATTAAAAACTCGATCAAATCCTTGTAGAAGAATACATATATTAACATTAGATTGTTTATTAAACCATTCACAAATTGATGTTTGTTCACATCCATGTGGAATATATAATAAACTATGCCATTGTTGATTATCTATAAGAAATGAAATACATGTTGCGCCATGTAGTGATGGTAATGATAGAAATCCTTTTTCTTCTATATATCCAACACGAATTCGATCAGATATATTCAATTGAGATTGATTATTTAATATAGGAATAGTATAAACATATTGAAAATAATTCCATCGTCGAATACGTTTTGCAGCATTTGTAGTTGCATATATTGGAATTGTTGAAGATAATGAACGTAAAGTTTCCTCATGACAATGATCAGTAAATTCATGAGATATAATTATTGCATCTATTTCCATATTAAGATCACGAGTTATATTTTGAATAGATGGTTGAATAGCATGTTCTTGTCTTGAAAAATAATGAAAATAATCTATTTGAGAACCAAATAACCATGGATCAAGTAAAATTTTAAAATTATCATATATAATTAACCAGGATGTATCATCATTTAAATGTCTTAACGTTAAACTCATTAATACACTTTGATAATGTTAAAATCTATACAAAAAAAAATAAAAATCATATATATATTCTAGAATGAGTCATTGCAAAATAAAAACACGTGGTTAAATATCTTGATATAAGGTAAAATAAAAAAACAATATTTTAGAGAAAAGATAGACTACCATTGATAATTACATTAATTCGTGTTAGATTTATAGTGAATGATATATTATAGCTTAAAATAAAGTACATAAAAAAGATGAATTAACTTTATCTTAAATTCAAAATAACTTAAAACACGAAATTATTTGCATAGAGGTCACTAGTTTGTAATAATAATAGAAATAAAACAAGATGTATATTAGATTTTTTTCTCTAATTAACATTTTAGTTTAGACAAAATAGGACGAATTTAAAATAATTCTATCTGGAAAAAAATGGATAACTTCTGATGTTTTGCTTCACATTACATGGAAAAATATTAACAAAATCCGTCAGAAGATACCGTCGAGAAACGATCATCATTTTTATTTTTTACGACGACAATTTTTTTTCTATATGATAAAAGTTTGATAGAAGAAATAAAATGAGATTATAATTAAGCCGATATATATATATATTTTTAGAAAATGTTTTTTCCTTCTAAATTAAAAGAAGTAGTGATAATATTATTTTGCTCATCAGTTATTGACATACGTAATTATTCTAGGTGAAAACATGGATGGAGCGATGTTTATTTGTTCTGATTGAGATATATCAAATGAATTTCAAAGCATTCAATTTTATTTTTATTCAATCAAATTTTAGCGAAAATAGGGATCAATTATTCAAATATCGATTATATTCAGTAAATTCAATGCTGGTTCCACCAATATAACATATCTTTCTGCTTCATTAACATCATGTTCATGTTCTCCTGCTATATTACAACATTGTATATTGATCATTTCACTAATTATTCGATATTCTGTTTGTTCTAAAGGAAATTCTACCATTTGTATTAATTCTTCTTGTTTTTTATTCATCAGTGTAGGTAGATTACTAATACGAAATTGATCTAAATGCTTAAATATATACTGATAAATATGATGTTCATTATCGGCATATAATTGCCATAAAGAAATGGATCTGGTAGATTGTTGAATATCAAAAAGATTCGGTAATTTCGTATGGGGTAAACAAGTTAATGGACGACTATTATATGTCACTTTCCAAAGTGTAGAAGATAAATTATTATCGATAATAATAGTTTTATAATATTGTTCTTTTGCTTCAGTTACTGTCACCACCATACCATGTGCTTGACCATTTTCTCTCATATATTGTTCAATATCAGTCAAATTTAATTCTAAAAAATCTTCAAAATCATTTATATTTAAAAGTTCATGATCAATATCTTTGTTTAAAATTTGCATTAAATCTAAATCGCCTTCGATATTATCTAATGGAGAATAATCGAAACGAAGAATAACATTGTGAATATGTGCAAAAAACCAATGGTATACATCTAGTTTTGTCTTGGAATTTTCAAATGAACGAACGAGAAAATCAACGCAAGATGAATCAGCCCAACCGACTGTGAGCAACCAAATTGTAGAGGATACAGACATGCTGCTCTAATAATACACCACCAGAAAATGTGGATGTCTTTAAAATGATAAGAAATTGCTCGTTGATTGTGCAATAACATTGATAAAGACGTCCGAAATAAAAACAAAAGACTTTATCTTTCATCAGTAAAGAGCTACATGAAAATGTGTGAAAAAAAATTCTTATGCAGTTATAAAAAGTTCTATATCCTTCATTGTCCTTTTACAAAGATGTCTAGAAAGATTCATACCACTTATTTTAAGATATGTGGTGGAGCCAAGAATTTGATGACTTTTGCCGCAAACCACATTGAAAACTATTGAATTCTTGATTTTTTATGAGCATTTTACTAAGAACTCTTGAACTGAGGATATTCTTTGGAGATAGATATTAGTAAGTTCTACTATTAAACCAATTTTTAGCTCAAAAAATTAACCCATTGTGTTTTACAGATCATCCAAAAAGGTAAAAAAGGATATTGGTGTGAATGTGAGCATCTCTTATCTTAACCTACACCATCACCCTCATATATATTTTGTATTAATATCGTTCCATGGTAACTAGCTTTTGTCCGTCTTGTCTGATTTTGTTTATGAGACACTGTTTTTGTTATTTTCAATTATATGATCTTTAGTTAAATTTCTAAAGCGTTCCATAAAGCAATTTAATTGCATGTATTTTAAACCTACTTTTAAGATAAGCGAAAACTCCCAAGCGCTTGTAAAGCTATAAGATAAATTACTTTTTGCCTTAATAGCGCTTTTCAATATGTCATTTTAAAAATAATATCCACTAAGCGCCGAGACAACGTATGCGAAAATTGTCTCATTATATAAACTATAATTAGTAGCAGAAATATCTCGTGATGGTATTATGTAGGTGTTACATTAACATTTTAAGGACAATTACTTGTTGTATTTAATTACGAGGAGAAAAATAAAAACTCATTTTATATCAGAAACGGTTACATTTAAAAGGGTTGTTTATTAATATTACACAATAAATGAGTTCGTCCGACGTTTACTACATAAATATTTTTGACAATATTATAACTTATGTTTATAAATATATTCTTCTTATATGTTATATCATAGGTAATATTGGAAACTTTTTAAACGCTTTGGTTTTTTTTAAAAAATCTTGGAGTAAAAATGTTTGTGTATTTTACTTTAAAACTAGTCTCTTTGTTAATTTATGCTATATTAATTCTTCTATGCTTGGTCTTGTCTTTTTAAATGGTTTTAATATAAGTTTACAGAATTCTAATGTTCTTCTATGTAAATTGTATTTCTATGCATCATTTCTATTTGCTACACTTTCACCTACTGTTCTTATTCTTGCTTCTATTGATCGTTTATTAATATCTTCACAAAACGTTGATACACGTTTGTACAGTTCAAAGCGTTTAGCTTATTTTTCTATTAGTATAAGTACAGTTTTTTGGATTGTTTTTAACTCTCATGCACTTATTAAAGTTAATCTTCAAGAGTTTGCTCCTTTTTATTTTGTATGTTATTATGATCTATCATCGACTTACCTTGATTTTGTTTCATATTCTATAGCAGTTATTAATGTCATTTTGGATATTTTAATGATTGTTTTGTGTGTATTTGCGTTTAAAAATGTTCGTCGTATTCGATCGATCCCACGTGAAAAACGAAATCAAATTCGTTCGATGACAAAAAAAGATTTTCAATTACTTCGTTGTTTGTTTGTTCAAGATATTGTTTTCCTTATTTTTGGTACATTAATCAGTACATTTTATGTCTTTGATGCTATAACAAAATATCAAAATGGAACGATATTACAACAAGGCGTTCGAAATTTTCTATATAATTTTATGACATTTATTTATACTGCTTCTTATTCGACGAATTTCTTTGTATTTATCATCGTATCCAAAGCTTTTCGACAAGAATTAAAACGTACAATTTACAAGATCATTGGTAAAGATCTTGTTCCAATACGAGAAGAAGAAAATAAACAAGAAAATCATGAAAGAGACAATGTAGAAATAAATGTTGTCAGTACCATTGAATTACCTGCTTAATTACTAAATAAAATGAAATGAAAACAACTTTGTTTTAAATGATGAATATCTTATTGTCGGAGAAAAAAAAGGAAAATTTAAGATATTATATTTTTAGATAATAAGATTAAGTTCTATTTTGAGCAAAATTAATAAATACATCAATCCTTTTATAATTGTCTATTAAGAACCTTAGTAGAAATCTTTTTGTTTTCAAGAAAATAAACATTTCGAAGCATCTTTATATAATTTGTGAAGTTGATTATGTATCTGCAGTAAACATAAAATTAACTTGAAGGTGTGATCGGATGAAATATAAATAAAACAGTAATCTTCATATTCAATCTTTCAATTTGTTTAGGTTTATAGGCGATCGATTTAAAGAAATACTTTCATACTACTTTTTCTGCTGTCATTATTGATTATTAACATTGAAGTTTGAAAACGAATGCATTTATTTTACAGAAGACTAAATATAATCAAAATAACAAACATAAATAGTGAGGAATAATGGAGGGTGTGAATGTAGGTGCATAATATTTATATCCTCACCCACCCTCAAGATGATTAAATTATAATTTTATAAATATTATTCTATCCAAGCAAATCATTGAAAATGTTAATAAAGTTTAGTTCATTTTTCAAATATATAATTTCAATTTTAACCGATAATTGCTATTGATATATATTTTTTTATAAATCATAAACTTTTTTTTTGTTACTAATGAATGGAACGAGATTCGGAAGAAATAACATATCATGAAAGAAAGTATAAATTCGCGGAAATGTATTGACAAAGGTTAAGTGATATCCTAGTATAATTTTTGTTTGATCTATATGAAACTTCGTAATTTCTATCTATAGGGACCATCATTTTGAAGTTTGCTGAAATATTTCGACAAATGTAATCAACAATAGTCCACATTACCAATCTTTAGGTACTTCGAAAAAGCTCTCTATAGCGCAGAGGTGTTCCGATGGAGGATTGTTGGGGCCGCGACCCTCCCTCCCCACTTCCGTCTTCGGAAATTTTGATAGATGTTAACTCTATAAGGGTTTACTGTATATCATTTAATTAAAGATAGACTATGCATATATTGGCGATAAAAATCTCCGAAAATATCGAAACAATTATATTCAACTTTTTTAATTATCTAAGATAAAGCAAGAAATTTTTTTTATACATTATAGATAGACTGTCTCTTTACTGAAAAGAAAACTACGTATCACATATTAAGTATCATACAGTTTGATATACACACTGACAGGTGTACATGCCTCGGGATATCATGCACATTAGTGTGAATCACTGTGACGAATGTATATCAACGACGCATAAAATGAATTTGAAAGTTGGAAAAAAAACAATCATGCATGAAGACTCAGAGATAGTTGCTTTAAAATG